CGGAGAAATGTGTTATGAACTTCGTAGCCTATATTGAATCTCCGAATTAATATAATGCAAAGATTAAATATCGAGCTAGATAACGTTTTGAATGATTTGGTATTCATTTTTGTAGAGCTTTATATTCGGCCAGTGTTAAAATTTTTATTGTGCGTGGAATGGAACAGAAATATCGGGGAGAATGGCCATCTCCTTCAAATAGTGCCAGTGAAATTTGAAGAGAAGCGTTAGGACCGTAGCCTATCACTTAACTAATTATGTGCGAAGACGAAACACATAGTTGCATTTCTATTCAGTTTTGTAGCATTTAGAGTGTGCCAGTGTAGAGTTCGTCTGGTGCCTGGAAGTGCTTCCCTGTGTGAAATTCCGTTGGTGAAAAAATTTGATTATCTGTGTTGTGGTATCCATTTTTCCTTCAATCATGAACTAAGTTAAAACAAAAAACTTGGAAATCTTACTATTCCATTTGTGGTCCTCTGTTTGTTATTATTTAGATTGTTATAAATCATGATATGATATAATGTACATATTTTACAAACGTATGTCTGATAAACTCTGAAAAACCTGAAACTGGATCGATCATAGCCTGAGTCAAGATATTTTAAGAAACGCTTCGAGTCAGCGATCAGTGCTTGCAACGAAAACTTTTAACGAATACGACCTCATGTTCATGATCAAATTTTAGTGTCTATTTCAGTATCGTCGTATAAAGAAAGCCCATCATACTGGTCGTCCACATAATCTCCTACCGCAACACACAGCACGTGAAGTTTCACCGTGACGCATCATGAATGACGTATCCGCAGGTATCAGCGATGACATAGATATCACTATACATACCTCGCTCGGATAAATGACTTTCTTGCCATTTCGTAATTAAATTGTCAAAAAATAATCACTCAAAAAGATTTGACATATCGGTCTGAAATAATTTTAAACGTAATTCACTAACAAAACCAATTATTAATGAATTATGTTACATTTTCCATGAAGTTCAATGTTCTTTCTTATCATTTACTCAAGAGAACCATGATAATGAGACTGTATTTGAGGTTGTGCCAGATTTTCGAATACTTCGAAAGCAAGCATGATAGGGTGACAGAGAACTAAAAGTACAGAGACTGTTGACCCCGAAGTGGTGTCTAGAGCAGTGCATTGTCCTGGGTTGTGTGATAAGCATCAGAACTATTTATATCTCCACTTAAGTTTGCACGGTCATTTTGAATACATCTTATATTGCTTATTTTCATTACACACATGACTGCATAAGTCCATGATTATCTTAGCTTCATATTCAGTTAGATTATCTTAAAATAGAATATTGTCCAAAGGGAATAAAAGTTCCGATTGGCGACAAGAGATGGCGCGGTGTTCTGCCTAGAGGTCGTTGACATTGAGACTGCCCTTCAATCTCGTTGACGATACAATAAGAATACTGTCACTCTTCGTGATATTACGCGATAAATTTCTAGGGCATGCATAGTTTTTCTATACTTCAAACAGACGGTTAAATGAGTATAATATTCTCAAGATATTAGTTTACATGGGTTATAGGGTTCTAATTAAAGGACAAGTTAATGAAAGAACGTTACTCAATGTTTCTGCTAGCTCAAGTCGAGATTTGTGAAATATTACACACTCTCGGATATCCGTACGCAGAGTTGTGCGATTGCAATAATTATTGCCCATGTATAAAGCTTAATTAAGGACTGATTTTTGACATGTAATGTTTGTCTCAAATAAACAGTCACGATGTTTTTCTAAAAACAATTTTTATTCTGATTGAATTGATAAGCTTTTTAACCTTAATTCATTGCTTGAGAAAAATTTCGAACCACAATATATGTTGTCCGAAAGCAACACGTGTAGCTTCATCAAATTCATTATGATTCGCACACAAGTCCGAAATGCGTTGTATAAATGCAAAGGCTCTTCTGTTAATTGCATTTTGTCTGCGCAAGTTATATAAAGAAAATTTGAAAAATGTATTTACTTTCTAGTCTCTTACCTGCAATATTGGAACTATACAAAAACTCTTTCATCGCAACGTAATTGATTTTGCTACGATCAAAAATGCTAAGCCAATAGGTAGGTAAATAGGTAAACCCGTTTAATCTGATTCGACAAGTTAACTCAGTTAAAATTAACTAATGGGTTTGCCCTCAAAGTCGTAAACAATAATTTCAATCAACACGAGTTGAAGAACATCTTCAAACTTATATGAAAACTTCTTATTATATAAATAAATTTTCGAGCAAAAATACTTTTCGTTCGACAATGCCTAAAAGAGAAAGTACTGTTGTTCCACCGCTGCCAATGTTTTCTCGTGACTTTCTTAACTTCCTTTCGTTTTATTGCACAATTTGTTGTTTGCGTCGCGTTCTGGGAATGTCGAGTTGCTGGTGCTGCTGAGGGCAGCTGAGTTGCGTGCGTATGTACGACGACAATCTTCGCTTTTGGCTCAGTGTAAGGTTGCCAGCCAATACGCGTGGACGAATGAACTTGTGATGCGTCCCTGCTGGTGACAGTGACTACATCATCTCGTGTTTTGATTGCCTGCTACAGAGATCAATAACCTGAATTCGAGTGGTAGCATATTAATGATTGGTCTTTTAGCCAGCTTTATTTAAAAATTTGAAGTGTTTCTCAAGGCTGGAGCTCCGGACTTTGAACGGTTTCTGTCGACTTGAAAAATGTTTACGGTTTACCTACCTTACTTAGTCTTAGAGCCTTATTTTTTGTTTAGGCCCACCGCTCACGTGACTGCAATGAACTTCGTTCGTGCAATTGTTAATACAATAATCTTTCTGTTGTTAAATATTTCTCAATTTATCGTTTCAATATCCTAGAATCATATAGCTAGTCCTATTCACCGTAGTCTTGTGTTGGTACGGTATATAGAATTAAGTTTCATCGTGTGATCAGATAAACTGTTTATGAGCTATTCGTAGATATAGTTAAATTGTAATAAATCATATCATTCCCGACAAAAATTGTCCAAATTTATTTAACCCAAGCAAATTTTGTGCGTTTACTGGCTCAGCAGATATTACTGAGAAATTGGACAACTTGGGTTTCTGCCCATACTTTGTTGCCACGCAATGAAACTGATGCAAGCGGCGAGCGGCTAGGTCGTTGGCCGGTATGTTGACGGTATGCATCAACGTACGTAGAATGAAGTTCGTGAGCTTGTAACTGTCAAAAATAAATATCTTATTGCCGCTTTAGAGGAATTTAAAGCAGTTAAATTTAGTTTCTTGATTTTTGGGAAAATTAGCTGGATTGGAATATAAGTGAAAATAAAAACATGCTATTCGGCTGAAAATTTCTTCCATGTACAAGACACTGTGAGCTCGGTAGTCCACTATCCGATTCTAGTCGCAAGCGAAGTGTTATTGGTGTCAAGTTTTTTTTTTCGATGAAGCACAGAACAGTTGGAGTATTGATAACTGAAGTTAATATTTTGTTATATATATATATGGAATGCTCAGCAACCTAATTACATTTCTTACAAAATAGTGTAATGTCAACACTAGCATGCGCTCCCTCAAGCTGTGTTGATCGCTCGGCTCAAAGTTGACCAAAGTCTTTGGCAAAGAGGAGAATTTGCTCACCGGATGCTTGGTGTGGTGCCGGTGGCTGCAAGCTTTCTGTTCAATTAAGCCTAATGATGTTCTCGACGCCTTTCTTCTCATCATCATTGGCTGAACCATCCCTTGTACGTGATGCTATTGGCGTCATGTGAAAGTTCAATTTAGTTCGTTTCCGATTATCATTATGGTGCAAAAAAAGAAAAAAGTAAACGGTGATTATAATATCCTCGTTAATAAGGAGTTCCCAAACTTCTTGCGATCGCCTACCACAAATAAATACTATATATATATATTGGACTGCCATTTTCGGCTTTTAGTGTATATTATCTTTATTAGCACGCAAATAATTAACAAATTAAGTACATTTACAGGAAGAATTTATCTGTGGTTCGCTGGCGCCTGTTGGGTGGCTTGTGGTAACAGTTGTAAATCGGTGCCAGATTATTTTGTATTAGGCAGCAAAAATTTTTTCAAATAAAAAATACCCAATTCAAAATCGTTCATAAAGCGAAAGTGTCCACGCATCTCCTGCAATGCCTTCGCGAGTTCGCGTACCACAGTTTAAATACCTGTTCTAAATGCTGAAAGGTCCTACCCAAAGTCTACAACATTCAAGTGGGGGCAACGAACAGGGCAACATGAAATGACGAAACTTTGGTGCGAACTATTTTAAATGTTCTATAACTCTAGGCTGAAGAATTAATTTGGGTCGAGATTCTAGAAGAGTTGGCAGCCCGTAAGGATTTTTGCGTTGCTTGAAACGGTTCGATCTGATAGAACTATTTTAAATGTTCTATAACTCTAGGCTGAAGAATTAATTTGGGTCGAGATTCTGGAAGAGTTTGTTGGCCGTAAGGATTTTTGCGTTGCTTGAAACGGTTCGATCTGATGTAAATTACCGGCGACTCCTTAGCTCGCGGAAATGCAAATCACCTTTTCGGTTACTAAGGGGGTTCCTTATTTACCTGTAAGCCTTTTTACGTATTGCTAAAAATGTCATGTCACCAAACTTGACTAATATATCCATATGTTGTCAAGGAAGCTGCCAGCGTACCTTATGCAAGCACTTGAAGAAAAGGTTGGGTTGCTGTTCATTGCTAGGGCTGGACTACAATGAGGGCACGCAGAAAGAACCCTGCAAGTATATAGCTGCAAGGGCTGGGATGATTGACTGTAGAAGCGTCAACGGGTATATATGTTGTCTACGACGACGGTTGAGGGAGTTTCGCGTTTACTCTGACTCGTGTGAAATTTCGCAAATATTTTAATGAATTAGTCTTTGCCTCTATTAAACTTGTTGGGTATTATAATATTCTCTACTAGAAACGTTTTGCTTTAAAAATGTCATGTTCAAGAATTCCGACACATTGAATTTTTTCTAACTTTGTTCACTTTCATTCCACAGGTATTTGCTAAATAATTCTTGCTTGGTGACTTATTCAGACATTAAGATGAGTAGTTCCAGGTAACAGGTAGAGCTATGACGTAATTTACATGTAGTAATTTGTATTTAGTAGAAAAATTTATTACCTTAATGAGATAGGGTTGATTAGTTTCATTCATTAGTTCTCTATCTCCCATAATTATATATTATCAGTCGTTACTGGAAATATCATCTTACGAGTTATAAATACTCCGTGATAACCAAAACTCATAGATAAACATTTAAGCAGTTACATTTCAAGCTTCCTAATGAATGCAGTACTCAGGGATAATAACTCAATCATTTTGAGACATATACGTAGTTACACTACAAGTATACGTACCAAAGTTATTCTTTGGTTATAATAACTCACGGTTTGACAATCAAACTGTTATTTCATATGCAGTTTAGAAAAGTCAGAAAGCTTCTCATCGTTAATGATAGTTGATGGTTGGATATTTGAATAGTCACCTAGTAAGTTAAGAAAACTGAGCCTTCTCACTTTTCTCTGTGCAACACACCCCTCTCGCGTCGCCGCGAGATTAGGATAGGCTTCCAGCAGATAGGCTGGGAGGCAGGCAGGTTTTTTCGTTTGCAGGTGCTATATTTTTCGGACATTGACTTGCATACAAGTGTGTAATATGCAATAAAAGAAGTGGGACAATGCGGCGGCACAAGATTTGATAATCGTGTTCGTGAAGTGATCGTTAAAAAAAACTCAAGTGTACCCGGGGGAAAGTGACTTCCTTGTTCTCGACGCACCGTTGGCTGCTTGCTGTTCATGAGTGAGCTTCAGGGCAGGCGCCACGATGGATCTCTCGAGGTGCGTATCCAAATCATTTCTTGATATTTAGTTCATAATCAATGGGTAAATTTGGTCTTCTTTTATATTTTATTGCATTATCTGATGTTTTGCAAGATCATCACCCACAGTACTGAGAACTTGTAAAATTTCAGAGAACTAATTGCACCACAGTTCTTGTGAACTCCTGGTGTCCGGAGTGTTGTTTGTAAACGTGTTTTCATGTTCGTTCCTTTTGTTGTCGTCGACTATATTGCTATTTCAATCGTTTTCTGTTCGCAAGGTTCTACTCAGAATAAAAGGGACGTTGCGTTAGGTTTGGATAAAACCTCATCGAAAAGTCACTTTTCAATAAATATATTTATGGATTAAAAATTGTAAATCATAGAAATATACTATCGGTAAGCTCCAATCAATGATCACTAAGTTATTCATTAATCCCTCTATGTACGAACGAGGGATCCGAAGTTACGAAGACCAATCTATTTACGATCATATTTAAATTGAAGGAATATCATGTGGCCGTTCTCATCAAAGAATATTTATTAATATTTTTCATAATAAGAATAAAAAATTATTTTAGTTATTTCAACTCTACCGCCACTGTGATGTCATTCACTCGTGTGTATTTTAGGTTAATTACTCGTACAACCTTGGAACCGAGATATAAAATATAACCTCTTTAACTTAAACTCATGAGCATCAAAACGAAGTAATAAGTTATGACGAAGTGAGGACACGTCGGCCACATTTTTGCAGGTGAATGGCCAACTATAATGCGTCGATAATTTCTGAGCGTTTCGTACTTTCTCTGTGTTAGATTAGGTCTTTCAGTGAAAAATGATGTCAGTGGAGGTGAGCTCGGTGATGTTTCAGTCCCTCCCAAAGTCTGAGCCACACTTGTGACGAGGCTGGCCGTCTGTGCTCCAGTTTCGACAAGCGTACTCCCGAAATTGTGTCGTGTAAATCATATATAAGAGTTACTTTTTGATATTGAATAAGCCAGTGTAATATGCATGCAAGGTTACTAGGTATATGATGCTGTAGTTATAGTGGCGGAAAATAATAAACGATGCTACAATGAAAATCCCTATCGGGTCTCGTGCTCTCGATATCGTTTCGGTTAGAATTCGTTTACACTTCCATTTGATTGTCTAATTTATATCAATAAAATAGTTATGACAGTTTTTGAGTTTATGCCTAGCTTTGTTAAAAGAAACAAAGTGATAGTTTTCCTGCCACGTGTGATAGAACTTCATTTATTTTTAATATGATAGTATGTTTTTAACATGCAATAATATTTTTAACATGCATTGATATTTTTAAGATGCAATGATATTTTTAACATGTATTGATATTGTTAACGAGCAATAAGCATTTCACTTTTTAGACTGGCTGTCATCCAGTTGCGCGGCACCTGTGACAGCTCGGCCCAAAATCACTCTCAAAGAAATGACAGAGTGCGTCCAAATACCTATGCACCCTATGACCTTTTATGGGTCAGCCTGACTCAGTTTGGCTAGGTAAAACGCATCAGTGTTACGTCCGCTCTCTGCTCACGCTTTGGGTAGAGTCAGAATTTAACTGGGTTACTGTTTAAACAATATGACCCTTTTTTAGCGCATTTTCTCATTTATGGAAAAAATGCGCTATTGTGCTCGCCATGTCCGTCTGTCTGTCCGTCCGTCTGTCTGTCCGTCCGTCTGTCCGTCCGTCTGTCTGTCCGTGACTTCACGTTTTCGTCGACGAGAAAATGCGCTCTCTGTCACTCGATCACTGCAGCGAGAACGCCCGTGCAGTCTTCCTGAAATCTCGTATTTCAAGCCTTTGCGCATCTAAATATCCGTATTTAGAGAATGCTCGTACCTGAAATATTGTATTTAGAGCTTTTTCGCCCCTGAATATTCGTATTCAGAGAATGTTCGCACCTGATAATTCGTATCTAGATAATTCTGCTACCCCAGAGTCGCGTTGCGTCCATTAAGTTACTTGTGTGGGAAAAGTGCCTCTGCGCTACCGACATATTCTCAACAGATCCTATTATTATACAAGAAACTTGAAATTAAATTTAAAATCTCACGTTTAATTTTTATTTTTACTTTGCATAGGTACTTAGGTGGTAGTATCTTTTTCATTTAAGCTTTGCGTTTTGCTTGTTCAGTTTTTAATTTTAGTCATTCGTAGACTACCCTCGCTATCGCTACTCGGGTTTCTTGCGTATTTAAATCTGTCAACGATTTTTCTCTGTATTTCTGTTGCCGCGCAGCATGAATCTGACTGTTGCCGCGCAGCATGAATCTGTCTGTTGCCAAAAGCATGAATCTGTCTGTTGCCACAAAGCACGAATCTGTCTGTTGCCACAAAGCACGATCCTGTCTGTTGCCAAAAGCATGAATCTGTCTGTTGCCACAAAGCACGAATCTGTCTGTTGCCAAAAGCACGAATCTGTCTGTTGCCACAAAGCACGAATCTGTCTGTTGCCACAAAGCACGAATCTGTCTGTTGCCACAAAGCACGATTCTGTCTGTTGCCACAAAGCACGAATCTGTTGCCACGTAGTTCGAATATGTCTGTTACCACGTTTTATGTCAGTTTTCAGTATTTCTACAACTATATATTGTACTATTTCTTTATTAATATTGAAAGTTAATTGAGCAGAAATTATGTTCACGTGTTACAGTTAATATTTAACTTGAATGAAACGAGACGATAATGAATGCAGCTCAGAATGGCTCAAGCTCCGACGAGATAACAGTCTAGCCTTATCAGCTCCTGCCAGCTGTCTACCGTTCATTTAATTCGCTTGAAATTCACACGTACGTGTATATTTGAATAATGGTGCTTGTACATGGCAACAGTAGTGGCGACCAGTAAAACGTTCAAGTACTAACAGCCACTATTTGCCTTGCTAAGTGGCCTCGTATATAGGCGCTACTGGCCCTGCAATGGCCCAGTAACAATGACCGTTTACATGAGGCCAGTAGCATGGTGAATAGTGGCGGTAAGTACTTGGAAGTTTTACTGGCCGCCACTAGTGGCCCTGTGAACAAGACTCTTAACCTCTAGGTTATGAGCGTGTGTGCGACTGTGCGTACGTTGGTCGTGACAGTGTCTAAATAAGATGCATCGATGTATGTGGCAAACGTCAATATGATGGAATACATGATTTAACATTATCTTGGTGTCGTAGATAGAATGATGTATTTCTAGTGCAACGTTAAAATTTGTTCGGAAATCGATCCAGTGAATTTTATTAACATGTACACATATTATTGATTTCTGTTTCTGTCAATTTATTTGCTTTGCTTTATTTCACTAACGCGGAAATATGTATGGAAAAACTGAAAAAAGAACGCAACTCTTAACAAAATTAACTCGTAGTAACGTATCAATTCCTATGAACGTGATTCACAGCTAATTGTTGTGCTTAATTGTAAGAGTAAGTGTCGTTTGTCGCAATAAATTAACAAGAAGAGATCAGCTGCTGCAGTGGAGATTTTGGATCATCGTGAACGCTGCTGTAGTTGCGACGCTATGCCCTAGCACTTTAAATAGCTTCAGTGATCACTAGAGCTGACTATTTGGCCGTTAAATCATTGTTTTTAAATTAGAGCAAGGCTCATTCTACGCTTGATTGATAATGGTATCGCGATAACAATTAATATGCTAACGTACGCTTATCCCGCTCTAGAGGTCAGTAACCTTGTCGCGTTCACGTGCGAATGCGACGTTGCCACGTCTTGCGCTAGTCTGTGCTGCGGTGCCACATTGCTGGGGCAATATGCCAAAGCTCACAGAATTTATTGAGTCGGCTACTCCCCTTGATCTTTGCCGGTCATTTACGTGACCTGTTGATTAAAATTTCCATGTAGTTTCCATTGATTTGTCACATTTTTCTGTTGAATTTTTAGCGAATCTTCCTCGGATTCGCCTGCTTGAAGCTCATAGATTACTAAAGCATCGAAAGTTTCGTTGTCTCACTCAGTCACTCTATCAATTGTTGACTAAATTGTTGACTATCACGCCGCTGATTATGAATATATATAAGGGAAAGTTCGATATTTGATTATACCATCATAACAGAAGATATTTTTTCTGTTTTCTTACCCCGTAGTTTTTATTTCATTAAAACTTTCTCTGTTTGGCTTAATATCGATTTTACATTTTTGTTTGTTGATGGTAACTCTTATTACCATATTTCAAGATGCTTAACACTGATTCTGAATAGTACTGGTAACACTGATTAATTCCATTGATCAAATACACTGACTGATAGCCGTGATTAATGCTTCTCCCACACTTCCCGTTTGCGTGGGAATCGGGAATTTAGATTCTCGACCCTTCGGCCGTGAAGATTGTCATGGGTATCTGCAGTTACTGGTTAGTTGTGTCCCACGTTAGGTCATGGGTATCTGCAGTTACTGGTTAGTTGATGTTCATGGTACGTGTGAGCATCACGCGTGTCTGGGGCAGGAGATTGTTGCTTCTCGTAACTGGGATCTGTTAAGTAATTTTATTAATATAATAATAGACTCATTTCATTAATAGATCTTTGACCGTTTTCTCAAACACTTTCCAATGGTATCGTTCGTACGACTGGTTGTGCTCCTAAAGTGTTCACTGAAAATATCTCTTATTTATTATATTAACTCAATCATTCATGGAAGGATTTGTATCTACTGTTTTAATATGATGAACGATATGAATATTTGCAGTCCCAATACGTGAAATAGACATATTATGTTCAAGTATATTATTTATAGAATGAATAATATTTGCACTAAGTATATTAGAGTACTCCGGAAAATTGAGTAGTATTCTGATTATTTTTGCGCTAATAGTGATCATTATTGTTGAATAATTACTTAAAATTCTTACTTCCCTGCTATTACTTCGTCACGAGCCATGATGCAGTCAATGCTGCGTCATTTCTACGCTTAGAAAATTAATGTTTCATATTATCCAAATAATGCTACTCTTTCTGCACGCAGCTCTAGTACGCTCTTTTGCCGACCACAATG